CTATCCCAAGGTGGAATTGCGGCTGAAAGAGAAAAGGTTCCTATTATAGGGCGTGATCGGGGATATTTGCTTCCGTTTCCTTTTACAGAACACCTCCCACCTCTAGATTCATACCTGAACACTTCTTCACACCCATTTTATCCCGAAGCTTGCCTTTAACCTCGTCCCTTGGCTTTTCTCCCCTGCATTACACGTTGCCTACTACCCCTTGTGTCCATAATTAAACCTCTAATGTCCGCAGTATTAAAAATGTTGTACAATAAATGCATATGCTTAAAGCAGCGGTCAAGCTGGGATAGGTGGAGACGGGTTGAACACGACAACGCTGAAAAGCATCGTCATTGGTTCAATGCCGTCCCTCGACGCCCTTCCACCAATCACGACGCCTTTCCAGCGATAGCATGTCCAACTCGTCTCCACCTTTCACCTATAAATTTACCAGAATTGAAAACTTCGAAACGTACGTGCACTGGCATCCCGAAGGCCAGCAGTAACGATAGGAAGATATGACACCACACATTCCACAGGTATCGTTACAAGCGGCACCCGACGCTGACATCCAGTTTGTCCATGTACCAGGACATTGCACGGGCTGAATGAATTGCATTGATAAAGGTAGCCGCCAAAAATTCATGCACATACCGGTTCCGGTTGACAAAATTTGGCGCCGTCGTATCCTACTGCCGGATAGCCCTTACAGCATGCAGGAGCAGTTGTGCAAGCCGCCTGTCCGCAATCTCTCGATTCGGTAGTGCTCCCCCTTAAGCGAGTGATTGAGCAGTACCAACGGACAAGGATGTGTCACTGAGAGGAATCACTCACGTGCATGGACAACCGTATGGAGCTGAGGCACAGGTACGATTACGCGCCTGAGTACCACAGAGGCCGCAATCAGCAGAACAGGTCGACCATTCTGTCCATTCGTTCCAAAGCCCTTTCTTCTCTGAAAAAAACCTTCTCTTCCGTGCTGATAGCTATTGGTAGAATGAATGGCATACCTGGATCGCAACAAGTGGTCTGCTCGGGATTGAACGCAGGCACCACTGGGAGTGGTCCACAGAAAAACGTTTTGGTTTTGGCATCTGCCTTCTTTGTGAAGCCGGGACAGCACGTCGTTCTCGGGAACAAACACACATCTGTTCCGCAAACTTGATTTTCAACGGCTTCCCCTCTGAAACAGTGGGGGTTACATTTCAATTTGGGACCTTACTGTTGAGTTGCTACTCACGTGCAGGAGCATCCGTATTGTAGTGAAAGGCACTTTCTAGAGCGGACTTGGGTTCCACATGAACCACAAG